GGCGAGGGTGACTGCCCGGGTTCAGGCTGGGAATGGTCTGCTCAAAAGGAGGAGGAATCAGTGTCGAGTGTGAAAGCGTCGAGGTCTTGATTGATGAACTTTGAAATGTATCAGCGACAGGGGGAAAAGATGTCAGGCACTCAGCGAGCGACGGCTGGCTATTGATAAAACCAATCTCTCGCTCAAATTCGTAATTCATGGCCTTCTGCTTGGAGCCCCCTCGGAGAAAAAGTTCCCTCTTCTGGAGGGGCTTTGGGGGGGCGAGGCCCGGGAAAAAGGCGAGTGCGGAGGGGGAAAAAAATCTATCATAGAAGATCGCTGCTGGGGTGTTTTTTTTCTAATTCACTGATTACAGCCGTATGGGGACCGCGCTACTATTAAACTATTGAATTCATGGAGACAAGGTTGAAATTGGACCGAATTGGCTGTCACATGATTGCTTCTGCCCAATGACAATTTGGGCTTTAATCAAAAGAAGCCACTGTCTGTTTGATTGATCCAAAAAAGTCGGGAAGGAACGCCTCATTGGGGGCCAGCGAGGCTTTATTTACACTTTTTTCTGGGCAAAAATACATATATGTGGGTGTGGGTGGGGATGCCCGGGAGTGCGTGGGGGCGAGGGTGCCTGCCTGCCTTCCCAGGCGCAGCGACCTGGTGTGTGCGCCTGGCGCTGTGTGAGTGCGGAGTGTGGACTGTGAGCCGGCTGCGGCCGCCCTCCGCCTCCCCCGCACACTCCGCGCATTGTTTGGGACTGTCGGGAAGACGCCTCGCACCTCACAAATCATTTAAGCGCCTCAGTTTGACGCCTGCAGTCATTAACAAAGTAATCCATTAATCTTCAAAGTTTTGACACCCGAGGGCCCCCATCCCAGCCACATAAGTTCTGCTAAGGCTGGAGGAAGGAGCAGAGGTAGAGGAGATGAGAGAGAGAGAGAGAGAGAGAGATCCATTTTGGGGTCCCCCCTCTTTTATTTCCCTTTTACTCCTCCGCCTTTTCCCAAACCGTTTCCTGGATCTCAGAACTGATCTCCTCTCTGCGTAGTCTTCCTTCCTCTCTTTCCTTCTTTTCCTCTTCCCCACCCCTCCTCCTCTCCTCTCCCCCTCCCTGTCTCTCCTCTGTCCACTTCTCCTCTCCCCCCACCCTCGCAGGCCCTCGCCCCCCTCCAAAAGCCCAGCTCGGAGTCCCGCGCCCCCAGACCCGACCCGGCCCATTGTTAGCTGGCTTTTCCGCGGCAGCTTTGCGTCTGGCTCCAGGGGAAGCGGAAAACGCGAGGCTGCTCTCCGAGCTTCCTGCGCCATCAACTTTTCAGGAGTGGCTCGAGAGATAGATGCATGTGCCAACCAAGACAACAACCCCAGGTCCATGTGTTCAAATCCCTGTAGCCAGGGCGGCGGCCAGCCAAGGAAGTGCTGCCCCGAGCAGCGCAGAGCAGCACAGAGCAGCGCAGGGGTGTGCGGCCCCTGGCATTCTGGGTTTCATACCCGTAGGGCTCGGGCGCGGTGAGTATTTCCAGGAAGTCTGTGGGAAGTTAGCAGCAGCGAGGGAGAAGGTGATTGTTCCTTGTCTTCCTCTTTCTTTCTTTCTTTCTTTCTTTCTTTCTTTCTTTCTTTCTTTCTTTCTTTCTTTCTTTCTTTCTTCTTTCTTTCTTTCTTTTCCTTCCCTTCTTCTCCTTGGCGCTCTGACTGGGAGCTTGTTGGTTCAGAAGCAGTGAGTGCTCTAGCAGCCCGAATTGTCTCCCACTCCTTGGCCACCAGGGATGTTTGCACTCAGGTTCTGTTGTGGGAAACAGCACCGCAGGTGAGACAGGGCGACCCAAGGAAGAATTATACAGGTTCTCTTTCTCTGTTCATTCTCTCTCTCTCTTCCCCCCCTCCCCCCAATTCGGAGATGTGAGATTGAGCATATCTTGGACTGTGCTGGAGGGTTCAAAAGACAACACCCTTGGGTACCAAACAATAACTTTTTAGAAATCCACCAAGCCAGAAAGAAGGGAGGAGGCTGAGAGAAACTGGAGGGTATCTCTTTTCCCCCAAACCCTGAGGAGGAGGATTCGCCTTCGCTTCCTTTGAAATGGACCCAGTGATCAGACTCCCCCAGGCCAGCAGGCACCAGTGGCAGGAAAATAAATCATTCTGATGGCTGGGGAGAGAGAGGTTGGCGGGAGAGAAAACCCGATGTAGAAAACAAGCAGGGCCGAGCGAGGCGCAGGGAGAGGATTCCATCTCTGAGGCTGGCATCAAAGGGGGTTTGGGTTGGAAATTGATATAAAGTGCCCTCCATCATTGACTAGCCCAGAGCATTGCCTTACAGATAGAGATGCTATTTTGGAAAATGTGAGGTTTTTCAGTTTTCTTGCTTTTATTCCAAACAAAGCTCTGAAGGAAGTCTGGGTGCGATCAATCTTGCTCACCAAAAGCCTTGACAGCTTCTGGCCCTTAAGAACACATTTCAGCTTCGAGCTCTTTCCAAGATCAAATGTGGCCCAGCAAAGAGGAGAGCAGGAAACGCAAGTAAACAAGGAAAACTAGTCTTTTAAAAGATATTTCTTGGCAGCGGAAGGAGTTATAAGGCTGCTTTTAGGAAAGTGTTTTTCGGACTCTGGGGTGGCAGCTTTTGGCATTTGCTTTTACCAGAAAATATTGAGGACTTAAGGGGAGGGGGAGCTCCAAGAGGGAGCGTAGCTGCTCCCACATCACCGAGGCTTTGTCAGGGGCTGCGTGGGTGAGAGGTTTCTGCTGCCTCAGCGGCCTTAATTCAAATACCATCTGGAAGAAAACCCTTTTCTCTGGCCATTCAACACAGGAATCTTCTCCAAATCTATTACTTTAACTCAGGAGATATTTTAATAAGGATTTCTTTTTCATATCTAGGAAGCTAAGGGTGAGATCGATATTTTTTCTTTGAAAGCCACAATGAATGTCTCTGGCAAGATGTGGGAAATCACATTGGAGACTCATTTAAAAATCTCTGCCCTGGAGGGAGGAGGAAGCCTCCAAACCAGTCCTCCCTCAGCTAAAGAGTAGATTTTAGAAATGGGTTCCAATGGTGGTATCTCAGAACACTATTCCTCTCTGAGGATCTCTCTCTCTCTCTCTCTCCTCCTCCTCCTCTTCCTCTCCTTCTCCCTCCCCATCTCCTCTCCACGCTGTTCCTTATTTTCCCAGGTAATTTTAATTGTATGCACTTCTCTTAAATTATTACTTAAAAGAGGACTCTTGCAGCTGTTCATCCTGCTTAGCTTAGATAGGAACAACCAGAAGGGCGGACGCTCCAGTCCTCACAAAGACTGCTTTTCCAGCCTCCATGTTTCTGAGATTTGCCATATTTCAGCACGGAGGTCAGTGTGAGGTGGGTGCTAATCCAGTTCTTCCATAAACTCTTTAGAAAGCACCTCAGGACAGATGTGGGGAAAGCACCTCTGGCTGTGAGAGAAACACCCAGATCTTTACAGCTGCCCAGGTTTGCATCTTCTGAACCCTTTTCTTTTTCTTAAAAAACCGTGAGGCGGTTTCCTAAAAGCAGCTCCCGCAGGCCCAGCCATGGCTCCAGTGCCTGTTTCTACAGACCATCTGAGTGAGCTTCTGAGGGGGAGATAGGGGCCAGAAGATGGATATTTTGGATGCAAACAAAATGGCGACACCTCCCATCTCTGCCTCAGAAACATAGACTCCAACGAGAAGGGGGATTTATTGCTCACAGCAGACGCTCCTGATCCCCAGACGCAGGTGGTTCCTGGCTTCCAGCTTGGAGGTGGGATGCTGATGGGGATGCAGTTCTGAGGTTTGCACTTTCTGAATTTGGTTCCTTCTCTGAGCAATTCTTTAATCTGAAGATGAAAACGCTTCCCTTTCCAGCGCTTGTCTCTGCCTTTCCAGCCAGCCAGTAGGCAGCCCAGGAATAGAAATGTAATGCTTAGCTCCTGTAGCATCAAATGAAAGAAGTTCTTATAAAAATGCATTTTTATTAGAAAGATATTAATCTCCTTTCTCTCTCCCCCCCTCTCCCTGAGGCCAGAAAAAAAAAAGCGGGGAGGGAAGAAGGAGAGGAAATAAATCCAGGGAATGCCAAATCCTTAATTCCGAGAGGAAGCCGATGCTGGGGCTGCCGGAGTCCAGGGAAGGGCCCAGCCCTGCTGGTGATGGAGACTGGGTGGGCCTCTCAGCCTCTTCCGAGCCGCCTCGCTCCCCATGGCCATTTTAGAAGCGCTTCTTCTCTCCCTCCGCCGGATAAAGGACCGCGAAGCATCCGCGGAGAGTCCGGTTGCTCCCCGAAAGTGCTCGACACCCTCTGCGGCTGGCGATTTCCCAGGTTACGGCGTTAGCTGGTCCGCTCTGGCCGGAGGATGGTCGGGGACAGGAAGGCAGCCCGC